TCGGAGCAGGGTATGACCATATCCTATTGACGATGGGCTGGCCACCGCCATGAGGATGAAAGGTATGATACGCTGCACGGCCTTTCCACTGTAAGACGTGAAAAGTGGACGAAACCGAAGTGAGGTGATCAGCTTCAGTACAACAGAAACAGATCAAATAACGCTGCAGAGCGAACAAATAGCAGTGAATGACTGACGAGCCGATGGAAAGAGTCTGTCACTAAGAGATGTTACCACTTACTTCGCAGTATGTTTGCTTGGCAGTTAGCTCGAGCGGGACTTTGATAGCGGACGGAGGGAAATAATATGTCGGCGGATGCCTGGGGGCACGTAGAGTCATCGATGATCAGCTGTGTCGACTCTGGTTATGCTCGATCAGCCCTTCAGCCAAATGAAATGATATCTCCTCTATGGATCTTTCGGAAGAATGGGAAGGGTGGGAAGGGTGGGGCTTCCTCCGTCCGCTCAGGATTGCATGGATTGATTGCAAGAGGTGTGGTTCGAAACAATCACCAGGTGAAGCAGTGAAACAAGCCCAGCTCACGTCGTCTCCAGTACTCGGTACCCCTCGGTCGTATCAGCGACCGTTGTCTCCTCGCCTTGGTTGGATGTCCAGACTACCCGTAATCGGCTGAATGCGCGGACAATAACACAAGCACAGAAATCAGTCTCTGACAATGGTGCGGTGGGATGTCGTATCTCCATTCATGCCATATCATGAAACAGGAGCGCGGCTTTCATTTCGTTGGGGCTGAATCGGATACCATCGAATTCTAGTCGAGGGGTTCGATAAGATACAGCCAGGGGGGCAGGGGGCTCATCCAAGAAGCTTAGAGCTCACTTGGGCGTACGCTGTAATGCCGGCGGACGAGGATACTTCCAGACGTCTTCCTCGGCTTTCCGCGGTGCAAGAGGTATGGCTTCTCGAGATGCAGAAGCTGAGGTTGACATTGAGGTCGACATGGCGCGATGAAGCAGTGGAAAAAGATAGTGGTTGGGCTTCGGTCTGGATCTGAGGCTCTGTGCAGAAGATGCCGCTCGGAGTATGATCATACTATTAGCAGGATGATCGCGATGGCTCTCTTTCGACAACAATGGTAGGGACGGACCAGAACTATAAGTCAACATCGACAGATTACAGACCTTGACCAGCTCAGCTCAGTCTTCTCATATGAAGAACTCTTTAGCCAGTCGACGTTGCTGTCCGCGACTGATCGAATAATCCTACGTCACTCGATACTCGATAGATCGATCGGTCGATCACTATTACGCAACTTTTAGGCCACGATAGGCACAACGACCACTACCATTCTTACATCGCGTACTGGAACAGTCTTTACGCTCAAACATCCCTTCCAAGTTGAATGGAATGCATGCAATCAATCGATACCACAACATATTTATGATGAATGGTCCAATTCCGATACTGCTACTACTACAACCGAACGTACAGTATGTCTTTCTATGTGAGATTATGTTGACTACAAGATTCTGGATGAGAAGAGTTGGGCTGCGTTGGGTTGCATTGGTTACCAGTTGGTGGAGTGTTTGGAGCAGTATATGTAGGGCTGGATTGTGACTTAACTCGCAGTGATGTTGTTTGGGTTCTTTGGTCATTCGTTCCGGATGGTCGTTGCGATCTCGTTGACGGGATCCGTCTATCGAGTGGTTATCCGTGATGCGTGATATCCCAATCTCGATCCCGTCCCTGTCTGTCCTGCCGTTATTGATCACATGCGGTCATCTCTTTCTTCTGCCAGGGCGCCCCTATCACCTTTCAATCTTGTTTCTTTTCCCTCTTGTCGACCGTTTGATATAAATGCTGTCTTCTCGTCGGCTGCATCGAAGGCGAGGTGAGACAGGGCTGTACCATCAGTTGATGATGTTGGTTGTTGAGACCAATAATTGCCCGCTGCCTGTTACGTCTTCGAATTCCTCTCACTTGCGCCTGAAGTTTCTTTCCTCCCCTTCAATTCCCGCTTTCCGCGGTTTTACACACTCATTCTCTCCTTGTCCTGTGTTCCTTGGCATCTCTACCTGCTGCTCGTGTGGTCTCTCCTTCATTCATTCTGCCCTTTGCCACGCCTTCTTTCGTCTCAGATGCCTAACCCCTGATTGACAGTCATCTTAAGTTGGCTCATTGCCATCTTCGTCCCGCTACGCTATGGGGGAGCCGGTCTCGGCAAAGCAGCCTGATTACCCCCGGCCAGGACCCAATCGAACCCCTGCTTCCCTATTCCCGCATTCGCCTTGAATCGATCGTATGACGCTTGCTCGAGTTTACGGGCGACGTATTTCGTAGGGAAACCTGATATCAACATTGCCCGTTGGCTGAAGGTTGTCGTTGAGCTATCGGCGGAATCTAGTGTCGTTGGAGACGACGGAGAAGTTGGCGTGGTAGGGTAGTATCTGATGAGTTCGAGACATGATCTGAAATGCCCAAATACCGGTCAGTATCGACGAAAAATGTGGGGCATACTAGGATTCAACTCCGTTGAAAGTCTGCTTCTGGGGAAGAACCTATATATGAGTCCGTACTTACACGTATTGTGCTAAGCTCAGGTTCACCGACATGCAAGTCGCCGAGGGATCTGAAGGATCTACGAAGACGACTTCGCGAACATATGCTGTCGGCGGCAGGTGGAAGAGCTAGAAGTGTGAAGCGACAGAGGCGTTAGTGAGGGATAACAAGGATATTATTGAGTCATGGCAGGGTCTCAAGCGGTGACGACCCACCTTAGTGATCCATTTCGGAGCGCCCTGCTGAACACCTATTAACCGCTCTGACCGTAACACCCCAGACTCGGGATCTATAGTACGCTCCAATGTATCGACAGAATATACATGTGTGGCGAACGGGTTGGGGTATTTCCGGTGAAGAGCTGCGATCGTCTGAGCAGGCGGATAGCTAGACGGACCGAATCAAGATTTGGAGTGTGAGGATAGGATGTCGGTGGTCAGCCTGATGAGCACTGGTGACAGGGGGTTACGATGATAGTGCCAGGAAAGCAGTGCTGTTATTGAGTTGGGATGAGGCAGCCAATGCACGGTGACATCGGCTCGAAGATCATTGGCAGATGGAACGCTTCTTGAGGTTGACATGGAGCTGGATCGAGGCCTACTCACTTGAAGAGAATCTCATTTTCGAACACCTTCATCTTCGCGCCAAGATCTGTCTGTCCGCTGCTAAGGTGTCGGTTCTATATCTTGACTATAACTGTTATTGCCGAAGTGGACGGTGCATTATACTGTGTACTTTTCTTGAAAGACGAGTCGAGGATCAGACAGATCTAGGATGGTAGGATAGTTGCAGATGGAGTATGCCTTGGAATGCATGGCTGCAATCATCAAGCATCCATCCAGATTACGTTGTCGTTTGACCCCTCGTCGTTCGGAGCCGAGCCACTTTGGCTTTCCCACGGTGTAGCCTGGTCCTTGTCACCGTACATTGATGTTTTTCGGTGCGTCATACCTCAATATCAGTTATCAAATAAACTGCAAATCTGCTCTGTCTTCCTTCCAAGATTCACATTTGATTATACCTTCACAGCGAGCCAGTCGAACGATCTTGCCAAGATGAACAAGCAGCCAGGGACACAGATCAAGTCAGTCCCTCTTCTGATCTAAGCAGAATATGTCTGTCCTGCAACCTTGATAGCTGATCTTGGATCTTCATCGTGACGACAGGTTGACCAATGTCAGCATTGTGCGGATGAAGAAAGGAGGCAAGCGGTTCGAGGTGAGTTGAGCTTCTGTATGGGTCCACAGCAGGAGGCCAATAGACCTGTGTCCGCTATACGCTCTCCACTCGATGATGTCAGGTGTTTCCAAGCTGAACTACCAACCGATCATGACGCTCAGATTGCATGTTACCAGAACAAAGTATCGGAATTCAGATCAGGCGTGTGAGTACGACTCACGCGAAACAAAGAAAACGCAGGGTTGATTACTGATCTATCTATCGTTGGTCAACTCAGCGAGACCGACCTTTCGGAAGTACTTCAGATCGAGCAGGTATTCACGAATGTGCCAAAGGGACTCGTAGCGAAGAAGGATGATTGGGCGAAATGCTTTGCGACGGATGACATGGCCAAGGTGATCGAAGAGGTGAGTGTTGTGTATCAGATATTCTGTCGCTTGCAGTGGCGATGGACTCTGTCTGGTCTGCTCCCTGCCGTTCTTTGCGTCAATGTCTTCCACTGTTGCAAACTCTAGCATGTACTAATCAGATTGCCGTTTATCAGATTCTGCGGAAGGGCGAACTTCAGATTAACAACCTTGAACGATCACATCAGCTCTCATCGCTGAATCGAGAGATCGCAACAATGGTGTCCGAGATGACGGTCGACCCCACAACGAATCGAAAACATACCGTCGGAATGATCGAGAAGACCATGTCAGACTTGGGTTTCTCCGTGCGAGCGGACCGACCGGCGAAAGCTCAGGCACTGGACTTGATCAAGAAATTGAGTGATGAGGACTCCAAGTTGCCCGTCAGGAGAGTGAGAATGAGAGTGAGGATCACGATGCCTGGGAAAGACGCAAAGCGGATCAAGGAGAAGGTGATAGCTGAGGCGGAGGAGGTGGAAGAGGATGAGATGGGTGCAGAGTGGGAAGCTGTGAGTCAAGGGTGCAATACATACCGCTCTTCACGATGACCGGACTGCACTGTGAATTCTCATGGAGGTGTGATTGCGCTGACTGCTCTCCTTACCGTCCATTGACAGATCGTACAAATAAACCCGGGCGCCTTCAGAACCATCACCGACTTGGTTAATAACGAGACGAAAGGGAAAGGCAGGGTCGAGGTCATGGGCAGCGTAGCATAGATGATAGGAAGGATGAGCGGAGTGCTCGGACACTGTGGATGCAAGTCTGAGATTGCTGGTAGTAGGGTCACGGTACAAGGTATGTTAGGCGAAGGCAACAGAAGTGGAGCGGCTGACCTACCTCGGATTTGTTTGGGGATATATTGAACGGAGCTCCTCTCCTGTATCAACTCTTCATTAGTATAACGGTTAGTATAACCGCTTCTCACGATTCGCAATTTCAACCGGCGAATTTGGAGCGCGGTAGACCAGGGTTCAACTCCCTGATGGAGAAAACCTTTTTGCTTTCCGCCACACTCCCTTGGTTTCCACCGTACAGACCTAATCTTTCCAATGTGGCGACATCTTTTTGCTTTCCACCCACTGAAACTTTGCGCCTCGTTTCTCGTGTGCTACTCCCCCCCACGAAAGCCTCTGGCCTGAGTTATGCATCAGTCACAACGGCCCGTCAACACCACCGCCTCAGGATGACAAGGCGCGTGTTGTGAGCGCTGAATCTGACGAAACAATAAACTCTGTTCTATCACGTGAAGCGCTCTGTCACCTCAGCGTACGAGTGGGAAGAAGCATTGTGGGGTTGCGCTTATGTCGTTACAGTTCGTTGTTCTTACTCAGTGACCGAAAGGAACTGGAAGCCAAAAAACTGATCCCGGGCAGGATCGAACTGCCGACCTCCTGTGATAAACCGTCGCTTCACTGCTGAAGGAGACTGTTAGACAGGTATGGTGACCAACTCCATCACGTGACCATTTATTGAAAACAGCGGTTGTTGCGTAGTATATAATTGAAATTTGTTTGGGAGCTTACCGCGGAACTGTACTCTTCCGTTCACATCACGCTCTTCATCTGACCTTGCGAGCTGAGCGGATCACAATCCTGCCAGAGACAGATCCACGCCATGTTGCAAGCCGTAGTCAGTGGCGTGACATCTGGAGGAAATGTTCTTTAGATGAGCGGGTAGTCATACAATTAAAACCAAACAAAGTGCACCTCGGCGCGTGAGGACAGATAACCGGTCCGTGTGTCACTTCGATCCTCGTTCAGTTATCGTCCTGTCATTCATCCCATAGGCAAGTGATATAGGCTTCATCCACCGGCTATGTTGCTCGCTCAGCTCTCGAGCACAGGACGCTAAGTACTCGGCGCGGCACCAAGCGAGCTGCTCTCAGTCTGCGTAGGTTCAGGCGAGCACACTCTCACTCTACACCATGTCCACCTCCGATCCGTCCTCTACCACACCGATCAATCACCCCTTGGCAGCTTTCGCTACGCCCCTCTCACCGGCTGAGACTCAGCCTGGAACACCTACTATCGAAGTCGGTGCAAGCCCGAACGTGCCGCTCATACGTAATCATCACGAAACCAACAATGACAATAATTCGCCCACGGATGAGGGGAAGTTCAGCGTGATCAGGTCCAGACCAGGGAACGGAAATGGACGAGAACCGGTACAGCCTGGTGCTTCGAATAGAAAATTTGGCGGTGAATATGGTGAACCAGGTGGATTCCAGGATTGGGAGGAGGAGTACGAGAGGCAGAAGTTGAAGGGATGGGAAACGAAAGTGAACGAGGATCTACAAGGCTGGAGGGGGGGTCATGGGTGAGTTCGAGACGAGTTGAGCTGGGTTTGGTCCCATGGCGTCAGCGTGACAGATGATGAGAAGATGCGAGGCGTCTAGCAATGAGATGTGTGGAGCTGTCCCTGCCTCATCGCTCGCTCGTACCGGACGGTGTATTTCGGAATCGCTGACACGTCTCAAAACGTGGGTCGTAGAACGCCCCGCTCAGCTTACCCTCGCCAAGCGCTGCCCCCAAAATCCTACTACAACCAACCGATAACAGGCACGATAGGTCGTCATTTGCCGAAGGAGATCGTGCGTATCGAGCGAGATTGGAGTGGGGGAGAGGTTTGCCAGTGAGTCAGACGGGTGCCATCGCGTTCGCCGAAATAGTCTATCAAGAAACCGGCCTATTCGACTGCCAGGCTGGGAAATGGCCCATTGTCAGTATTTTTGGAGAAAATGGTCATCATCTCAACGGGGATGACCAAGAAGCGTGGCTATCCGCTTTCCGCTGTCAGCTGACCAGCGACGTCCCTCATTCCCGAATTCGTACTGAGCTGGCTGACCTTCTCTCTCCATCGCAGATTCGAGTCCGCTTTCCCGCTAGAACTAGAAGGCAGAGTGAGTCTGAGTCCCACTCGCCCCGTTTATGACATGCAGCGTACGATGTCGACTCTGCTCGGCGGAGACCCTGCAATACATCTAAGTCTGCGCGGTGTCTGACTCCTTCTTGCCAGATCCCACCATCGCGGTTTACCGCCTTTATCAACGACCTCAACGAGATCATGACAGCTGCCTATTCTGTCCGTGGAGCGATATGGGATAATATCGTTGCCATCTCTTCCTTGTGGACGAGTCTGATGTGGCGTCAAAGTCATTTCGAGCGGGTGAGTGGGAGTGAGCAGCCGTAAGAAGTTTGAACCATGGGCGGAATTCCGCATGTCAGCCTTCCTCCTCAATCTCCTCGAGCGATGCAAGTACGCCCTGGTCAAAGGCATAGCCTGTCTGACGCAGCCTCACTAATAAGATTCCTTACTTTATCACGGAACCGAGTAGGAGCTGCAACGTGCGGAATCGTTCATTCACGAAAGCAATCAAGACCTCTTCAATCCCCATGGACTGAACGTCTTGAGTCCGAGGTCCGTGGCATTGCAGTTTGTGAGTGGCCAATCTCCGGTCATCTCTCTTGTCGTCGTACCCCCCCATCTTCACATTGGGATCTGCCCCTATCCGGGCCACTCCACCCCCGTCGCCCCCGCTTCCTCCTCTGTCTCACACTTGCATCCGCACCTACACTGGGCACAGTATGATCTCATGCTGTGGCTGTGCCCTGTCGTGCTGACCATGTTCTGTATCGTGCACCTGATTTACAGCTCGAGATAGAGTAAGCTCAGATTTCTTTCCCCTCGATCGGACAACGCGAGTCGCAAGTCAAACTGGAATGGGGATCATGATCCGGCTACATATAACAGCGGATACTGATAACACTCTCTTCATATTCTGGCCATCTTGTTCGTTGTGTACAGGTACTATTGATTGCCTCTGCCCTATACATCGCTGTTGCCAGCTGGCATCTTCGAAGCGCTATCCGTACTGTCTCAGAATCGACCGGATCACTAGTAGCATGGCATCACTGCATCGCGACTCAGTTGCATTTTTCAAACCGCTCCCAAGCTGGATGGGCTTTCCAATCTTCCGCTCGATATACTTACTGAATACAATACAGGACGAGCGCAGCAAGCCGCCCGACAATAACGACAAGCCTACGAACGCTCCTGCAACAGCAATCGACCATCATCCGGAACTATACGAACCAACCGATGAGACAATACGAGTGTAGTCTTCTTATGATCGATCCAATGTAGATATCAAGCATCACCACTTATACCCTCGTTTGTCTCTCCATGCACACTTCTTTTTATCGGTATTAACGTCACTTAGCACACCTTCATGACATGTATATCGCCTCGTCTTCACCCGTCAGTTCAAGGATTGTATCATCTCATCTATTCCATCTGGACATCAGAGGTGACCCCTCTGTACTCGTACGGTAATGGTTTTTATTGACGATCGCAGTCTTGCTCGTTCCTGAGCGCATGGCATGAGAGTACGCGAAATATGGATACATAAAGAGTATAGCAAGGCGGAAGAGCGTATTCCTGAGGTTGGGAACAGTGTATCATATCATATTAGGGTGTCTACGGTATGTAAATTGAGAATGAGCGATATCGAGCCGTCCGAGACTACGATAAACTGTTGAACGTGCAAGAAAAAAAAACAGACAAACATAGACGAACGATCGGATTGGTTTCTAAAAACCGATTGTTCAGTCCACACAGCAACCGATCTGTAAGGGGGTCTAGTATATGATATACTGTATCCTCATCCAGATATCCTACGAGATTAGCTGCCCTGCTCTGCGCTGCTCTACGCCAGCTTGGGCACAGCCTTGATAGTGTGATCGAGCAGTTTATTCGTGAACTCGGGATTATCCAGATAGAGATGATGTCCGGCTTTCGGTACGACGTGGCATGTCGCATTACTGTTGCCTGCTTCTTTGAGCGCCTCGACTGATGCTCGGCCGCCTTCTACGTCCATCCCTGCGAGCGAGCGGAGTGACATCAAACGAAGAGTCAGCTTCGACGTTCTGGTGGATGACAATGGGGAATCAGTCAGAAAGCTTAATCGGACTCACAATCGTTATCACCGTCTGTACATCCCAAAGAACCATGTATCAAATAATGGAGAGAAATATGATCGTCAGTCCGATAGCACAAACTAATTTGGAAATGAAGATGGTTTAAATGACTCGGCGCCGAAGCTAATAGTCGTACTCACACATAAAGGTCACTGGCACCTTGAGCCTCGATATCCTGTCCACAATCGGTATCCTGGCGTATGCACCGGGAGCGAGTATGTGCGCTGTGATGATGCATTCATAGGAATAATCAGCATTGCACCTTGGCAGGCCAAGAGCGCGCAGGCAAGTTGGCGTCGTCAGAAGCTCGCGTTGTGGCTATTTACATAGCTCATCGCTCTCACAAGCCGGCGAGCGCAGCCGCAGTGCGATCCTCGATTAAACGGAAGAGACAGAGTGGATCATAACAATCTCAAGGATCCACTTACATATACAGTATTCACCACTACCCTTCATGATACTAGTCCCATAGATGTACGCGTGCAAATCCCTCACATCTTCTTCGGTCTGGCTGGCGAATCGCCTCGCAGAGTATTTGCCGACCCAGAGTGGACCAAGCGGTCCGGCGCCTCGGAGGAACATGAAGGGCGACAGACCTCGTTCCCATCCCCACACGAAGACTGCGAAGAGCATGAAAAACCCAAGCGTCAGTGTATTCCGAATATATAGAATAATCTGCTATTATGCAGATCTCAAGCGTGCTACGCCGAGGTCGAAGAAGGCAAAGGGAATGCTTCGTGATCTATGTTGCCTAGTGACAAGCATTTCGAAGTAACTCGAAGATGTACAAAGGGAAACCTCGCCACCACTCACACTTCATCATGCCCTTTCGTAGCATCGAACTATCCTTCTGCCAATTCTTCGCCTCTCCTTTAGCCTCATGAGCTCGTCCTCCGCTGTTGATCTCTGCGTCTGCCGCATTCGTAGCGTCTTCAAGTTCGCTGGGCGACTCGGGCGGGCTGGTGATTTCATTCCGTCTTTCCTGGCTTGCTCGTGATCCCAACTCTGCCGTCA